CTTATTCTCACTCCTCATTTTAAATTCTTCAATTAATAACCTGCTATATGCTAATTACTTTTTCCCCATATTTTTTCTTTCTATACATGGCTATATATCATCACTTTTTGTTTTATTATCATTGTAACCATTAAATCACATATTTACCTGATGTAACTTAATAACAATAATAAACATTTATATTTAGTCATATGTTTATGTTATTGTGGTTTGTTTTCACCATGTTGTCATAACAAGAGAGAGAGAGTACTTAATAACTGTAAACTATAAATATCAATACACGCGACTGTACGCGATGTATCTATTCTTATGATTTTACGACTCTGTTAATATCTCTTTGTCAATTTATAACTGTTAAATTAATTATATAACCTTATTTTATCCCTGAGAGAGAGAGAAAAAAATCAATTATAACTGTTTAACTCAAAATCGATCTTGCCCATTGAGAACAAGCACGATTTTAGAAAGGCCAAGGTGATGTGAAGATCCTAATTCGGATATGTCTATATCAATTCACATTGTAGCTATACTTTCTTTTAATAACTGTCAACTTTTACACCTGGGAGTTAAACATCTGTTAAGTTCTCAGCCTAATAAAGACGGTTTCTCATCACCTTTCGACCTAATATCGCGAGTTTAACAATTCAACATTAGAAAAGAACACAAAGTGAGTCAGTTCTTCCATCGGATTACTTCTACGTAATATCTGTGCTCATTTGGATACCTCTTCGCTTTTGAATATCAAGAATCGTCTAATATCAAGAATCGTTTAATGTCAAGAATCGCCTAATATCGAAGGAACTATTGGACTTAACACTATCTTCCCGAACTTTCTTTCTTACCGACTGGATCCAGATCAAGATATCAAAAAGGTATTTATTGCCACGTGTATGAATTGTAAACTCTCTCTCTCGAGAACGCTCAGTTAACTTTACTATCGAACTTTACTATCAACATATTGTAAGATATGTATTCCTTATCATTACCTATTAAACATTTGTTATGTTAAAACAGTCTACGAAAGAATCACTTCTGGTGCGCTGTCTCTCCTTACATCCCGACTCTGATCGCTCCGTTACGCGACCGCTCGCGTGACCTAAATAACGCGGCTTCCCTGTCCGCCGAGACGCAGTGGTGTCATCCTGACAGGGTACCAAAGAGGTGCCGACCCTTTGGTCACAGTTACAACTTATTTTACCTAAGAAATATTACAGATTTAATCAAAGAAGACACAGTCTGTTCAAAAATATCTTTTGAAAATCACCTTTATTCTAATTATGTGTTCCGGTGTTCTAATCTTCTTTGATTAAATTAAAATTATCATCCAGCAAAATTCTACAAATAAAAATTTTTCAAATAATTCGTCACCAGAGGGAAAAGACCAAAATCTAATAAATCTAATAATAATAATAATAATAATAATATAATATATCTAGTAGATTAAATATTATTAACAATCGTTGGTATAAAACTCATCTACAAACGAAATTTGAACATTGTTCTATGTATGACTTGCGTGACACATAAACTTTAATGCAGTTTTATGGACAGAACAAGTAGTAAATATACTAATACTCTTACATTATGTATTTAACATAATATATAGTTTATTTTATAAAGTAAGGATTATTAGTTTATTATAATTGCTTTATCAATAAATTTTGCTGCATTTTTANAGCATTTAATGGAAATGTAAAATACAATCCTTTTAATTTTAAAAATTACAATTTAAATTATATATGTTTATTAAAAGACAATCAAATGATTCCCCCAAAACCATATACTCCTGATTATACGAATAAGATATATGCAAGAAATTTTATATCATTATTTGAAGATATAGGATGCATTAACCATCATAAAATTTAAATTATATATGTTTATTAAAAGACAATCAAATGATTCCCCCAAAACCATATACTCTTGATTATACGAATAAGATATATGCAAGAAATTTTGTATCATTATTTGAAGATATAGGATGCATTAACCATCATAAATTTACAAATTTATTTTATGACAATTATAAAGATGGATATACTTTATATTGTTTTGACCTTACTCTTGATCATTCTGCATCAGAATCACATATTAGTGTTAGTCAACAAGGAAACATTTCAGTGGAATTAAAATTTTCAACCGATATATTAGTGTGAGATCAGCCTTCGGTACAAATCCATTCGTACCACTTAATTGGCACAGATTATCCGAAATCTGTTCTCTGAGTTTCGGATCGAGAGATCCGATTTTATGTCAAGATTTGTTTGACCGGGAGGGCAGTAATATTTAGGCTTAAGGAGGATTGAAGACGGTAAAGTCTCTATCCGAATTTGTCAGGTTCCGGACACCAGTTTGTCAATTATTCAATCCGCGGACAAACATGCGTGTGATTATTTTATAGATTTGATTCAGAGACATTCTTTGAACAAACAAATAAGATTAAATTTAATTAAAAAGATAAATCAAATAAAAGCAGTACAAATATATGACAATGAAAGACAATAAATACAATATATAAGCTATAAGTCGAGATATATATTTATAGACTTATATTTAACCGATATACGATCGAGAGAGAGAGATTACAATATCGTTATTAAACATACAATCTGTTTTAGTTGTCGTTCGTCTTTTTCTTGTAGGCAAGGGACACTTTAGAGATAAAGTTCATTTACTTCTTTCCATGGGAGATCGAGATGTGAACAAATTTAAAGTATATCTACTATGTGCTAACTCTGGGATTATTCTATGTGACTCGTCTAAGGGCGTTGGCCATCAGGAGAAATATGTATGGAGTCCTGACTCTTCCAGGGGACCTATTCTGAGCTCTTCCGATAACTCAACGAGAGCGATACACGGGTCATTCGATAAGTCCCTTTAGTGAAAGGCAGTTAACGAACCTTACACAAATTGCTATTCTGAGCTCTACGTTAAGTGGGTTTCGCTACGGGTAGTCGGTCGAGATGCGTCTGGGTTCCACGCTATCGATAGCTATTACGTTTTNAGCTACTTACTTTTATTTCTGCAGATAGAGCATTTTTCTTAAAACACTTTGGCTCTAGCGTATCTCGTAATGCATTACATACATATATAACTAATGGTTTCGGAAGACGATAAAGTTGTTTAAAACGTGTATCGTTCAGCCGAAAAGCATCAGCTCGAAGATTAAATTGAGATTCACGACGTCGAATTATAATTTCCTCTCTCTCCAATTGTTCACGAAGTAATATCATTCTCACACCGAACGACGCCATGTTGTTTAGACTTTCGTTATGTTCCTAACGGCAGGTTGAGAGTGACCGATAACAAAAGCTCAGTTATCACACGTGGCTATCGGGACCGAAAACGAAACGTACGGGTCAGAATAGCATTTTCACGGTTGATTAAACGCGAATCACGTGGTTCTGCTAGAAACTGGTTTTTATCGTATCCGTTAGCTTAACGATACTACTCAGAATAGGTCCCCTGCTTGGTTTAGTATTTCGTTAATTTTGAACTTATTGGTGTTGATGTTGTTTTTAATTTTATTTTTTAATTTGGCTGCTAGTGTAACACCATGCTTACTGAAAATTTTTTTGTATTTTTCAAATGTTCCCTTGATATAGGGGAACAACGTATATGTGGTGTTCTCATTCTTATTTTTAACGTTGAATCTGTNCCTGTTTTCAAAACCCTGTACTAATTAGTTACTAACTACTCTAAGAAAAATGGACAGAATTGTGTTTCTTATTCTCATGTTTTTAACGAACTATTTTCTTTCTTAGTTAATTCTACTTTTGGTTAATTTTAACAAGGACTTTGCGTCGGAATGTCTCCCTCGTCACGTGACTTTCATTTCTTTGAAAAGGTTCGAACTTGTTCTCGAAATACACACTTTTTTTTTAATGCTCTGTGGTACAGAGCATTAAAAATAGTACAAATAAAAATAAGTGCCTCACAGAGGCACTTTTACTTATTTGTCCACAATTGGAAACTTAATTTTACTATTTATTCAAGGTAAAATACGTTCTTCGTATCATTTTTTGGATACGAAGAACAAAGCCCTCTTTCGTTTCTGCGTTAAATAGGTTTTCAGTCTACAGTAAAATTTAACATAGAAAATCGCGCCGTTCTGGAATTTCCGTTTAGGCAAGTTTTTTTTTTTTTTTTTTATTCGGGTCCAGTTTTTGACAAGTTTTATCGTAATGATTTTCAAAATCTTTATGTTTATTGCTTTTTTAAATTATTAAATTTAAATTTTTTAATTTAAGATGCTTATTTTATTGATTTCTGTCATCATTGCTTGATATAACCGTTTATATTTCCTCCTTAACTCTAATTTGATAAATTTTCATTTATATCCAGCTGTTAAACTTATAAAATTTTCTTCAAAAAGGACGGGAAAAAAGATTCATTCTTAATGAGCATAGAATAAAGTCTCGAGTATTTGAACTTTGTAAATAGTATACATAATACAATAGTACACATGACTACGTCCCATAAACAGTTATTCCGTATGTGTATGCATACTATTTTGTTTATTTCCACTAATTCTTTATCTGTCAATGTTTCATTAACTTGAGAAATACAATATAATATTTCTTAATAGAAATACAAATGTAATATTTCTTAATATTACATTTATTAACATAGAAAGCCTTGTTTTTAAATATAAAATTCATTTGTTAACTAACTTAAAATTCTGAAAACAGATTTTACTTATGTTCAAAAACTTTCAATTGCATATTTATGCAAACAGATTTTATAATAAAAGTATTATTGAATATAATTTCTCTTGATCAATGTAAGAGAAATAAAAAAAAACGCGTAAGAAGAAAATTTTTAAAATTTAGCCATGTTAGAAGTAAATTTAATCATTTTGGAAAATATTTAAATCTGCTTATTAGTTGATTATTCTTATTATGGGATTCTGTATTTAAAAGACTTAATTCATATATTATCTGAGAAAATTGTCAATTTATTTGAATTATGTTATTTAACATTATTTTTTAAAATAATGTTTTAAAAATAATTTATACCGGTGATACAAAAGTCCTTCGAAATGACAGCCGTTTGTAAATAAACACCTATTAATAATAAATATATGCATAGATAAGCAAAAACAAAACACTAAATTAAAGGAAAAGAATCCAGTTCGCTACTGTATAAAAAAAATTAAGAAAATTAAACATTCTTGACCCCGCAAATGCCTGCTATGTCAAAGGACTTCTGGATCACCCGATAAAAATGCTTCGTAAAAATATATATTACACGTAGGTGAATGTTGTTATTGTTTCGGATCACGGGATGACTACCAAAACTATATTCCGTACCAGAACCATTAGTTTGGATGACGTTCTCTCTCCTAAAGACATCAAAGTTATGCTAAATGTACATTACAATTCCATGATATGGCCCGTTGAAGGCAAGGAAGAAAAAGTCAGTGAAATTTTTACATTGTAAACGTTTTAAAATGTCGCATTCAAAATTCGTTATCTTTTTTTTTAGGTTTACCAGAGTTTAAAGAACGCCAAAAAAGCGGGATTGCATGTTTATAAAAAAGAGGAATTATCAGATCATTATCATTATAGAAATCATAGACTTATTGCACCAATAATCCTCTTTGCAGACAAAAACTATAATATTTTACCGGTAATTTTATTTAATATTTATAATATATACATATTGACTTAATAATAAATATTCTTCTTTAGTTACGTAGTTCTTCTAAAGTGAAACCGTATTATCCTCTTGCATCTATTTTAACATATTTACAACCGGGACTTCATGGTTTGGATCCGTTTTCTGAAGGAAGTGAAGACATGAGGACTATATTTTTCGCTTCGGGTCCAAGTAAGAATTTACTCTTAAGCAAATTTTCGTTGAAATGCTTTAAAATTAATAGCAAAAATTCTTTACAGGTTTCAAAAAAAATCACGTGTCTCCTCCATTAGAAATGGTAGATCATTACAACGTTTTTTGTCACGTCCTTGGCATAACGCCGCTTCCCAATAATGGTTCTTATGATCGAGTCAAAGAATTTTTAATTCCGAAAACTGTTTATACATAATCTTGAAAATTTTCATTACGAGGAAATAATTTATACAACTATTTTTCTACAGCATCTATTTACAACCAAACTTTTAGCACACAAATAAATTTCTGTATATAATTCTCACATTTTCAACATGTTATTTTTTTAAATTAAAGTAGTCAAGCAATTGTAAATTTATAACTTTTTGGATAATTTTATATACTTTGTCACGAATTATATTAAACAGTATAGTTTGACATCTCTTGAATTTTCTACTACCCTCATTTGTTGTGCAAAATATAAGCTACTATTTATTTAATGCAGACGAGCAGCGATAGTAAAGCACCCGTAGACAGTGAAGCATTACTGTCAATATGGCATCCAAAAAGAATGGATGATGCAAAATTATAATAACAAAAAAGTTCGTTCCGAGTGTATTTTAAGGAACATAGTCTATATTTTCAAACTATGTGCGTAATAATACGAATGTATATGTACTGTATGTATACATACAGATGAAATACTGTACTAATATTTATGAATCGCCATTATTTTATCTCTAAAAACTTTTAAGCAGCACGTTACTATAATTTTGTTGCCATGTTCGAGAAAGAAAGCACGATTATTATCCTAAGTGTTATTGCTATACGTCTGCATGCATATTTTTAATTTATTTAAAATATTTGTTCTCCATCTCAAATTAGTAGTGTCTTGTCCCTGTACATCATACTTTTCCTGATAACAACAGAATTATGCCGGTTATCTATGTAATATTCAGGAAAAAATTTTTGAATTGAAATCATATGACATCCTATCTCGACTGGAAGGTCCTATATCGGGGCCTCCTGCCCCTAAGCTTTCAATATCTGGTCTTGACATTCGTCTAATACTGTTCTCGAGATTACGAAATAACAGACAAACAAACAGACGGATAGACGACAGTGGAAATTTATAGGTTCAATTTTTTTCAAATTGCAGCCCAATAATTCAAAATGAAAAAATCTAACTATTCTTCAGTGCATCGACATTTTTGTATATACCACATCAGTTCTATTGCTATGAACTTCCAAAACTACATTATATATTCACGGCAATTGTTCACTAGGACGGAATCAATTTAATATTTCATTTATTCAGTGTAGTCATTTATTCAATTTTTAATGTAGCATATTAGATATATGCTACACTAAAAATTTAAAGAAATCAAAAAGAATGCTTGTCTATCGAAAAATCTTGCATATAAGAGGGTAGCTAAGAAGTGACTAAAATGTATTTAATATAATTAAATATCTGCAAGCATAAAATTTTTCATGTCGTTAAACGCCAACTTCATTTTGTGTTTCCAAACTGTACAATCCATTTATTTACGTCCTCTATCGGTGTGATATTACTATACCCTATTGATTTTTCATTGACTACCCAAAATGCGTTTTCTCTCGAGGTGCGACCGGTGATGACACAACTCGTCATAAGCGTGGTTTGCAGAAATGAACCAATGAAAATACCCTAGTTTCTGTAACAATGTAAATCTCTCTCTTAGCATGCCAGAAATACAGAGATCCTTTATAATTATTTTTTTAAATTTAGTAACGCTTTGAACAGTTCCTTCAAAGAATTTACAGGTGAGCGAGAAGTTTTGTTAAAAGGGATGCAATTTTATACATCACATCAAACTTTATTGTAATATACAACATAAATTTTCGATAAAGAAACATATATAACAAAGTATCACAAATTTCGAAATCTAAACGAAAATATAAATATTCATTCATAAATTTTTGAATATTTGAATTTTAAGTCTACAGTTATTTTAATAACACTTACAGTGAAACATATACACATTTTAAAGTTTTAACTAAATATGATCTAATATTAAGTTTGTAAAACCGCGTTATATTTTACTTGAAGTTTAACTTCTGATCCGATTTTTGAATCAATTACTATTTAAGAAATTAAGTTCAGGTTACTATTTAAGAATATGATAAAATCTAAATTTTTTGGCGCTAGCCGCTTTCTTCGGAGAGTAGTCAGTTGTTTTTCTTTTAAAAAAAACTCTTTCTGGAGGCACTGATGTTCCTGGTATACATAGATATTTTATGGCAAGTTGATATAATTCTGGAAATATTTGCTTATGATTTTTCCAAAACTCCAACGGGTTTTTAGATCTCTGTAAATAAGTCATTTCTAGATATTGCCTTATCATCAGGATTCCTATGGAGGTACGATTGCAATTAGATTTTACCTGTGCCACTTTATCATCAAAATATTCCCAAACAGCGTTAGTATTTGTAGAAAAGGATCTTGTGGAAGTGCTCTGTTCTTGATTTTTAACAATTTGAATGTCACTTTCACGTAATAGATCAGACATTTCTTCATTGATCCATGTTTGGGCTTCATCACTATTTTTTGGAACGCCAAAACCAATCTTTTTATAACGTGGATCTAAAAATGTAGACTTAGCAACTATTTTGTTTGTTTCGAGAAATCCGAAACGTCGGCTGATGGTGATTATCAGTTCATTTTTTAACTTCTCTCCCACTGGAGTTTCTGGTTTAATATTTTTTAATAAATGATGTAGACCTCTAAACAAAGGTACAACGGAAGACATTGTGGGATACATTTCACCAGATAAAAGTGTAGTGAGATGTTGCAAAGGTTTCATTATAGCAACACAGTCTTTAAGGATGTTCCATTCTTCCTCATTTAGGAAGTCACGTGCTTTCGGAAGATCTGTAATGACAACTGAAAGAGCATCTTTTATTTCCATAAGTCTTTCGATCATTATCAATGATGAATTCCAACAGGTAGCCACATCTTGTTTAACTTTTAAAATTGGGTAACCCATTTGAACTTGCACTTTTTTAAGTTTCTCTATAAATAGCACACTATGTTTAAAATATCTCACTAGCCCTCTACATTTTTTAATAACAGTATTTAATTCAGTAATTAAGTTAATTGCTTCATTAATACTCAAATTAAGGGTGTGGACTACACAAGAATGGTGATGTTTTTTTAAATAGTCTATTATTGCACTTTTTATATTGGCTTTGTCGTCTGAGACTACAGTCACAACTTTATCGAATACATCCCATTCTTTCAATATTGTTGATAAAACGCTGCCAATATTTTCAGCCGTAAGGGTGTTTATAAGTTTTCTAGTGCATAACACGCGAGCATGCATTTCATCATCATGAATAAAGTGAGCAGTCACAGTTAAGTATGTTTGATTACTGACAGAAGTCCATATGTCAGTCGTAACTCCTACATTTTTCACTTGACTTAAAATAGATTTTAGATTGTTAACGGATTCTGAATATAAGTTGGGCAACATGTGGTTTGAGAGGGCTTTTTGATTAGTAGTATATATAAAGGATTCAGTTTGTTTACGAATTCTCTAAAACCTTCATCATCAACACTTGAAAGTGGTTGGTGTTATCATTTTAATTAATTTATTATCGATTTCTTTTCTATTCACTTCAGAGAGTTTAGTTTGTGAACCATACAGCCTTAAATGGAGGCCACGATTAGAAGGAAATAGAATAGAGTCTGCTTTCCTTTTAGGTTTTTTCTTCTTACCTGAAAGAGCAGGACCAAAATCACCAGGAATACTTGATACATTAACAATAGATGGAAGAGATGATGAAGATAAAGCTGAATTAGTTGCAGAAGCTGATAAACTTGAAACTGTAGATTGATCTTGTAATTGCAATTGCAAAGGATGCATTCTTTTTAAATGTTTCTTAAGATTGCTAGTATTTCTAAAATATTTAATTTCTTTTTTACATAAAGAACACATTGTAGTTTTTTTTAATTCATTCTTTTTAAAAATTTTCCAAACCACAGACTTTTTTGAACCTGGCTTCATCCTTGATATTCAATACAAATATTCAATTTTATTATCTGCAAATTGTCATATACCAAGCAAAATATCTCTCACTCCTCCTAATTAAACCGACAATGTTGCTACAATAGAATTTTCTCTTTTCACAATATTTAGTTTTTATTACTTCAGGTTACTTTTTTATAATGCTGTTTTATTAATCTGATTGAATACTTGTATATTAAAAGTTACTTATGGACTTTATCCGGGATGTAGTAAAAACTGAAAAACACAAAATAATATATTCTATAATATTCTTCGTATTCAATATTTCATTATATCACACTTAAAATTTTCTAATAATTTTACCTTACTAGCAAAATTATTTATTAATTGAATGTTTTCGGGCTATCTAAGAAGATATCTCCAAGATGAAAACTAAAAGTGAATACAGAATGGAATACATGGAATTTAAATGGAGCTTGCTCTATATTTAAATTAATTCAAATTCCCATTACAGATAACCCCCGTATAACACGGCACTTCTATAGCACGGATTCGCTCTAACACGGTTCGAGAATTGGTACCATCCCCCGTATAACACGGTACTTTTATAGCACGGATTCACTCTGACACGGTTCGAGAAATGGGTAAAACTCTCGTACAACATGAAATGTAATAAATTTTTACATACTTAAGTACTAATAGTTCACAAAAATTATTATTTTCGTAAACTATTAGTACTTCAGTGTGTAAATTTTCTTTTCTCATCTCCATACACATGGTCCTTCGCGAAAATTGTTTCAATTTTGCCAGATCTCGACGCTTCTGCTTCTGTGTTGCCAGATGTTTTTCCCTTATTTCATAAGTGCTTAGCACCATATAAGGAAAATTATAAGCAATCTAAAATTACATACACTTTTTGTAAAAGGTAAAGCATGAATCTGAAAATAATGCAGAAAAATGCTCAGAGGATAAGGATAACTTGCCAAAAATAAAACGCTCTCGGTTAAGTGCTTTTAGTGATGACAAAGAAAACATTGTTTAATTTATAATAATATGTATCACTTTAGAAAATTTTGATAAAGATATTTACCTTAATTATGAAAATATAGTAGCACGTTTTTTTTTAATTTTTGGAACCTAACCCTCCTTTTCGTACTAGTTCTTTGTTTCGCATAACACGGCAATTTTTTGGAACGTAACTACCGTGTTATACGGGGGTTACCTGTATATTCATTTTTCGGTTTAATCCTGAAAATGGTTGATTAGAGCCGAAAACGTTCGATTAGTAAATAATTAGTAGAGGTTTGAGTGGTTTAATGAAATAATATATTAATATTTAATCGTTTAATATTTTTTCCTTCAGATTATTTTTATCCTGAAAAAATTACTAATTAAATTTTACTTAACCAACGAGTATAGTACTCATTTTATGATCATTTGCGTTTCGTACTGTACTTAGTTCAAGAAACCATAAAATTAAAACACATTCTGAGAGTAAAAAACAAACTTACCTACGTGTTTCGTCGAACAATTGAACGTAATTTAGTACAAGGAAAATCCAAAAAATGTCAATTAATTTGTTTTCGAATGATACTGTCTACTTCTTATTAGTACAAAGCAACTGGGCAGCATTATGTAAGAATAGTTGTTTGTTCTCGAAAACTCGTTTGATTCTGCCCGAGGTTAATTTTAATATTCTACTTAATCGTTAACTGAAATCTCTGTAATTTCATGTGTAAATCAACAATTAAGCCGTCATCTCGTGTTAAGTTTAATCATTAGAAATAAATTAATTTATTCTAAAATATTCTAATTTAACAAGAGATGGCGACGTAACCGCCTATTCCTATCCAAATTATTTAATATCGTAATAATTAATTCACTGTATTATAACCGGATGAGATTCCGGTTTTATGTTTTAATTAATCTCTCTAATAAACTTATCGGATAATTGACATTTTTAACAGACACTATCACGGAATTAACTTGGTTCTCGATTCTTGCATTCGAATACTCCGGTCATTAGTTATTAACTACTCCGTAATCCAGGGGTGGCCAAAACGTGGCGCATGCGCCAAACTTGGCGCATTGGACGATTACATGTGGCGCTTCAGTCAGTTCTGAGCAACATCGCCAGATTTGGCTTCTTTGCAATTAAGAATATTACATAGAAAATTAATTTTTTATAGTCTGTCTTAGCAAGTTTATTTGTTGCACAATTCGTTGCAATGAACTTTACAGATAAAATGAGTGTTCTCCACATAGTAAATTACAGTGTATGCATGTATGTTTATTTTCGATCAGTATATAGGCGTCTAAATGACAGTGCTAACGTCCCACGATAGGGCTACTGTCCGGACGGTCCGAGAATCGGTTGGACTACTAACTTCTTGCGAGACCTGTTGAACTTTTTTTCATTTATTTATTTATTTTTTTTTTTTGCTTCTACGATGCACGATACATTCGTAGTCGTGTACACCACTCTCACTACCACCACATTTTGCATTACTTCTTGTGTGACAAAACTGAATTTTCGTCTTATGAATTGAAATACCTGATTAAGGGGTGGCCAAAATTTTTCTCCGCCCCGGGCGGCTAACACCCACGGTACGCCACTGCGCATCTGAACTCGTCTATCAAAAAATTGACGCATGGTATGCAAAAGGTTGGCCACCCCTGCCGTAATCGAACAAAGCAAATTGACAACACACTTAAAGTCGCTGCTTGTTCTCAAGAACTCTCGAAAATTAGTGTCTGTTCTCGGGAAACTAATCGATTCTGCCTAACTTTAGGTTTAAATATGGCGTCAAAACAATGCCAGGTGGTGAAAAATAATAAAGTGAGGATAGCGTTGCGAAGCCGAAATTAATAATGGAATAAAAACGTACGCTATGCTGTTGAGGCCTCTACAGATGTGAACGTGTTTATTTTTATAATAAAATACTTAATGTACTTTTTAGAAGGGAAGTTACTAGGAAAAATGGCACTTAAGACCGTCGCATCACCAATCGGCTGCCTCGAAATGGTAGTAGTGTGCGCTTTAATTAAACACATTGAACCATCTCTAGTTATAAAAAAATAACAAAATAAACCTCAAAAAAATTTTTCTGTAAAAAGTGCTGTAAAACGACACCAAACTTTGGAAACAGCCATATATTATTTGAAAAAATTCTTAGCTCCAGCTCTACACCTGTTTTTGTTTTTTCAATGCTCAGGTGTAATTTCTTCAGCTATTCTATAGAAAGTTTTGGGCTTTTCACTTTACAAACATTTAAAACATTTTGTGAATCTAACTAAAAAGTTTCAAACAACTTATATTGTACTTCTGACATATCTCGACCAGAAATATATTCATGATATACCTTGTTTACTTTTTCAGAATTAAACAACAAAGAAAAATGGAGGATAATCATGTATTTAATATGCATTAGACAGTTTAGCGCTTTTTTTTTACGAAAGAAAACACAACACTAGGAAGCAACTCCCTAATCTTTATTTTGCAAAATATATCATTGACATAAGATTCTGCAAAATAAATTTAGGCCTGTATAAAACCATAATCTGAATTTGTGTAAGGCGGATTGTGTTCTTTTATTTATCTAGTTTATTTTACGGAACATTTTATAAACTGAAAACGACTATTTTTAAGAAAATACTGTAAATCGAAATGCAATTTGAAAAATAAAAGTTAAGGAGTTGCCTCCTTATGTCGTGTTTTTTTTCCATATAAACAGGAAAAGCAATGCCATCGAAAATTGTCTAAAACGTGAAATTAAACAAAATTAATTTATATCAACTGTAATCAATAATACCATAATGTAAAAATATATATTTTAGTAGCTTATAAATGATAATTAAAATCGGGCTGTTCGTTGTATATTTGAAGTACAGTAATTATCGAGTATGTATTAAATAATCAAAATGGTTATATACAAAATTAATGTAAGTATGTATTGCCATAACTTTTTTAAAGTAAGGGGTCAGTCAATTGTAAAAAAAGACAACCACTTCAGGTATAGTGGTAATAATAGTAAATAACTAATAGCTACTACAGAAAACATTTACAAGTTAATTGGTATTTTCTCTTTTCTATGAATTCCTCCCATTTAAATATAGAAAAATGATTGAGTCTTCTTTTACAACTAACAAGTTATATTGGAATGACCAAATATGTTAATCTGTCACAAATAAACCACTGTCAAACATAATGAACATGTCTAAAAGATTTAATCTCAGAAAAGAAAACTTTAGAGACAAAATAACCTTTCTTCTTTTGTGAAAGTAAGACAATATTTAAATATTTTTTGCCAGCTTTTTTCAGTTTGTAATTTGGATTGTGATAAATATGGATTTAAATTACAAAACAAAACTTTTAATTTCTTTCCTAGGGTAGAACCAACTGGAACAAATTGAAAAGATCTGGGTGGGCAACCTTTTTTTATAACATGGGCCAGAATAAATTTTACGTTTTTTTTCGCGGGCCGTAGTAGTTAATTAACACCTTGTGACCTGTAAATTTTTAGTCTGCAAATATGAAATAAATAAATAAATAAAAAGAAATTAATTACTACAGTCGACCGCCCCGTATAACACTGTTGATTATTCCGTTTTATATGAATTCCATGTTGTATAAGTCACTTAGATTTTACAAATGCGTGTGCCGGGCTGTGAACGGCTCACCTATTTGTAAAATCTAAGTGACTTTAAACACAATAAAAACAGCACTATGTAGTTGGATACCACAGACATTACATTTTCTAATTGCATAGCTTTTGCACATAGATTTTCTTGATGGATGATGCGATGAGATATAAATAATTTAGAAAAATTCTGTTCTTCCACTTTTTGTTTGAATAAGGAAATGACTTCCTTATTTTTTCCTGTCATTGCTGCCACAACACTTCAGGAAATAATATTCAATTTAAACTAGACGAATTACATCGAAAAATATTTATTTATAATTTCTTCTAAACATCTCGCGGGCCGGATAAAAAGTTTTCGCGGGCCGTAGCTGGCCCGCGGGCCGGGGGTTGCCCACCGTTGATCTATAAAATACATGAAAAGTTATATAAACCTATTATTTTTGTATAATAAAATGTTCATTTCAATTAACAATTAATTATATGCAGTTATAATCAGACTTTGACAATTTGATTACTGTATATGTATTCTTAAAGTTAATATCAAATATAGTTCATATCTTCTGTATAATTCTTTATAATAAACTAGCTGGGGTACCAGCTTCGCTCAGGGAGTTGATATGAGATTGTGGTAGTTGGAATAAAAGGATAAACTTTAAAATATAAGAGGTAAAAATATTTTATTGAAAACACATTCTAACTAGTTACAATACCTGTTTATAAACAACATTTTTTGTTTTGTTATCCGGGGTATATATGTACAAATTTTTCGAATTTCCTACTCGAAAGCAAGCTACGTATAGTTGACCATGAGAGAAGCAGAAGTCTTTGAGGTTGATGCCGCAATGTTTTAAAGTGTGTCCTTGCGCTTTGTTAATTGTAAAACTATATGCTAATTTGATTGGAAATTGCAGTCTTTTAAATAGAAATGGCAGTTCAGTAGAGATCAGTGGTATTCTGGGGATAAATACTGTGTCCCCTTTGTCCTTTCCAGTCATAAGTTTGGCTTTGATGATGTTATTTGATAGCTGTTTGACGATTATCCTTGTTCCATTCCATAGTTTTGGTGAGCATTCCATAACATTCAAGAGTTTATATTCAGTCACTATATCACTTTGACTACTCACACTTCACTGCTTGTTTTTATTCACTCACTGCACTACTTTGGAATTTTCACTTCTTTTTTGATTCTTCCCTTCATCACTGATAAGAAACTGATGTTCAAACCCACAACGCATCTTGCTTTATATACCACCACCAATGGGTAGTCCCACCCATACAAAAAAAGCCTTTGAATGGTCCACAATGTTCCAGAACATTCTGGAATGCTCTCGAATGTTCTGGACTGTTCTAGAAATTTCTAGAGGGCGAAACTTCCAGCCCTTATATCTTCAACAGCACGCCCTTCAAGTAAAAACGGGAACCTTCTTCGTGGATGGGGGATAGAGGGCTACCACACCATATAACTCCCTCGATCGTACTGGGACTCGTTTTTGAGTTTTAGCGGCATGCACATTGTATACTTACCTTTATAATATATATTGATATTAATGATTATAAAAAGGGAATTTTTCAAAAAAATAAAATCAATCAATTTTAGAAAAATATTTTTGTTTTCTTGGCATATTTGATTGCATTAAGTTTATTTTTTTACTCTTATATAAAGCATTGAAATTAAAAAGCAATAATTACAGAACAACAGAAAGTATATATGTAAACATATAACATATGGCATACACAATATACACTGAATATACCAGTATTAATATAATACAGTTTTGCTGTTTTTTTTAATTTTCAGCTGTTGTCAGTGTTCCTTGAATTATGACCCTACTAACTAGTGACTTACAATAAGATTTTGGGCTTTTCACTTAATATGAAATTGAGGATGTCTATATGCCTGAAAAACATTTTATGGCTACATTTTACAAAGAAGCTATGTATATAATATGTTGTGATGCAATACCTAGCTGTATATAAGTCAACGCTATATATATATTTATATAGTGTTGACTTATATCTCAGAAAATAATGTATGATTAGAATTCTACAAAATGAATTGAGCTGAGCTACAGCCTAAGCTTTTGACAGTCAGCTCAACTCTTGACTGGAATCCAGAATTGCAGCTCAAGTCTAATCCATATTCAGAGTTTTTTGTAATTCAAGGTAGTCTCCGTCCAATCCACTTCAAATTGTCAAGGCTGTACTGTACAGTACATGTTTTGTTAGAAATAAATGTTATTTGTATCATTTTAAAATATTATCCTTATTACTTTTGAAAAGTCTTTTAATTTAAAAATTGTTTAGTTCAATTGCTTAATGCTCAATTAGTTTTTATTTGAT